CTCGCTGTTAAAGCAATGATGGTCACTGCACAAAATAGCAAACCATCTTTGTAATCAAGTCTCTTATGCCCTACCATGGAGGACCAACTAGTATACAGCTGATGAGGGCCCAAGGCAAGATAGGGCAGGAACACGGGAGAAAACACGACCCCACCAGCTGTGGAAACTCTTGCTGGAAAAGAAAAGATAGAAAAGAGGCAAAAGGGAATTCCAGACCAAGGGAACAGCCCAGCTGAGGCGGAACGGATAGCAAGTGGTTCTTTCCATGCAGTCCGGGGACCCACTTGGTGGACTAGAGGCCGGTCAACCCTGTCGCGACAGGCGCCCCCGTCCCCCACAGTGGTTCTGGGGGATAGGGTTTGTGGAGGGAGCTGATGGGAAAGGTCTCTGGGAGCTGGGACTGCCCTGAGTCCTGTGGACTTGACCAATAATCTAAGGATAAATAGCAGAGATTAGCAGCTGGGATGGAGAAGGAACCAGGTCCCTCCCTCCCACCAGTTGCTGCCACGTGTAAATGGGGTCCAGAAATGCTAGATATTTCTATTTTGTGAGAAGCCAGAAGTCTAGATCATGTATGTAAAATCGCCCCATGTGTAAATAATGGTACCTAAAACCAACCAACAAACAAACACGGTGTGAGCAAAGCAAAACACATCTGCCAGCCCCTGGGCTGCTGCTGGCCAGCTCCAGATCCTGACCCATGGAGCAGCCTGGTCCCCCTCGGGGGAGCCTTAGTGGGGGTGGGGGGGGTGAACCAAGTCTATTCAAGAGGCGTTTTTCAGGATCTTTGCCTACCTTCCAAAAAAGTCATGGGGTTCAGATCGAATTCAGATTTATAGGTAAAAAGAAAACTACCGAGAACTGTTAAGGCGAGATAGCCTCACTGATGGCCTTGTTTTCACATAGAGGCGAGGAGGCCCACAGAAGACACGGAACTTGTCCAAGGTCACAAAGCCATTTGGACAGAGCTTGGACTCAAACTTGGGGTTCTGACTCCCAGCTCAGTGCTCCCTCTCTCAGTGGGCCTAAAATAGAAGGCTGACCTTTTTTGTGGTATTTTTGTGCTTGACAAATGCCAGAGAGTTACTCATGAGTTCATCTTCCCAGAATAACTGGCAGAATGGGAGCAGAGAGAAGCAGGAAGACCCCCGCCTGCCCTGTGAAACCTGGGGCTCCTGGAAAGTGGGGGATGCATCTAGCCATTGGCACAGGTCCACCTGCTTCTGGAGCACTGTGCCGGGCCCCAGCATCAGGGAGGTTCCCAGTGAGCCTGGGGGAGAGAGCTTTGGAGGCCAGAACAGGGGTGTGCTAAGGACCCAAGAGCTTAATTAAGCTTGTCCAGCTCCCAGGCAGCCTGTGTCCCTTCCTTCATCCTCCCCTCTTTTTCTGTTTTAAAATATTTTTAGTAGGACTCTTGGACAATTTGGACAAACACAAAAACTAAAACTAAAATTCATTTAATAAAACCACCTGGCTGTCCCACGACCTCAGCTTCACCCGTCTGTTTGCTCTGCTCCTCACAAGGAGGGAGGCAGGGCCTGAATTTCTTTTTTTCTTTTTATGCAGTGAAAGCATGTAGGGCATGGTTTTTCTGACCTTTTTTCATTTACTGTGCCTTGAGCGTTTCTCTCCACTTTCAGTGTCCTTTTATAACAGCATTTTTAATGTCAGCAGAGGATTTCATCATCCAAACGTATTAGATTTGTTTGGCCTTTCCCTAATTGGTGGACATCTCAGTTGTCTCCAGTTCCCTATTCCACACACCAGTGCTTTGACCATCTGCAGCATCAATACCTAGACGGGGAATCAGGTGGCATGAAAATCCATGTGGCCTTTGATACACATTCTGCAGGCTCTTCTTGAGACATACTCAGGGAGAGCCAAGAATTTTATCGGCTGGAGAAGATCTCAGGGAGGCTGTTTGCCTGTGCCCTGCTCCCATGATCTCTGGCTCATCTGTGTATTTTCAAGTTCTTGGCAATCCACACGTTTGACTCGCACCCAGAAAGCCCCTTGGCGTCTCCACCAAAGCTAGTTCATCAAGAGCTGCCTTGCTGGGACGAAGCATCAACAGGACAGGCGCTTGTCTTAAGTTCCCTCCAGAACCTTCCTGACCCTTTGACATGTCAGACTGACTCTCAGAGTGGTTGCCACCTCGATTTGGGAAGAAGCCCTCTTGAAATTGCCAGCAGAATCTGGGTACTCAGCAAAAGAAAAAAATCTCTGAGCCTTTCTGGGTCCCCAGTGCCATGAGGGAGGGGAGAGAAGAATTGAAAGGCTTGGGGTAAGGGGGGGAGGAGGTGAGGATAAGACGCATTTAGCTGCCTCTGCTCAGCTAGATCCGGCAAGTGGGTGGTATCAGAGGTTGGTGATTTTAGCTCATGCAAAAGGTGCATAGTATTGATTGCCAGTCTGTGGCTTGACCCCAGTCCATTCCCATAATGAAGGAACATTACTATCTTGAATGCAGTTTCAGCCTCTCGTGTGCTACCCTACCCTAGGTGTCTAACAGTAAAAAAAAACAAAAAAAAAACAGGACTTTAAGGAACATGAGAGTAAATGTGTATTAAGAGATGGGGTGGGTTGACCTCAGGTGTCAGCCCGTCATTCATCCATTCCAGCTGGACCACTGTCAGGAGCATAATAGCCTTAGTCCCAACTCTGTTACCACACTCCCCAGCCCCTCTGTTCACAGCTCTGATAAATAAGTGGCTCCAGAGAAGCCATCTTGACGTTCTGATTTGTCAAGGGTGATTCATTTTTGCGTCAAGTAAGCAGCTTATAAACTTGGGGGTTTACCACTTGAAGTGAGTAAGAAGCAAGCAGCTCTCAGGCTGGTTCTTCGGGGCTGTGGCTGATTGACCCCCAGGGAGCCCTCCTGACTGGTGTTTGGATTTACCTCTGTGTTTGCCATAGTCGTTCTGAGGCTCCCCACCGCACATGCCAGTATAGCACACGAGGCCTCTCTGAGAACTCCAGCGCCTTACTGTTCTCTCGGCAAGCAGACCTCCAGTTGGTGGGGGTATCGTCCTCCACAGAGGAAGAGCTCGTAAATTCCCCCGACGCGTTCCCACCAGGCCTCACATCTGCTTTGTCCTCATAACGCCTGAAATCAGGAGGGCCTGGCCCAGGATATAAATAGAGACTGGCTTTTAAGGGGCTGATGGTTAGACAAAAATAACTTCACACAAACCTTAGTACAAAATAGCCCATCCTTAGGGTGAATTCCTAGAAGTGGCCCAGTTTGAAAAAGACAGATGCACCGCTATGTTTATCACAGCACTATTTACAATAGCCAAGAAATGGAAGCAACCTAAGTTTCCATCAGTAGATGAATGGATAAAGAAGATGTGGTACATGTACACAATGGAATATTATTGAGCCATAAGAAGAAAACAAATCCTACTATTTGCAACAACGTGGATGGAGCTAGAGGGTATTATGCTCAGTGAAATAAGCCAGGTGGAGAAAGACAAGTGCCAAATGATTTCACTCATCTGTGGAGTATCAGAACAACAGAAAAAGTGAAGGAACAAAACAGCAGCAGAATCACAGAACCCAAGAAAGGACTAACAGTTACCAAAGGGAAAGGGACTGGGGGACTGGGGAGGATGGGTGGGAAGGGAAGGAGAAGGGGGGGAGAAGAAAGGGGACATTATGATTAGCATGTATAGTGGGGGGGTGGACAGGGAGGGCTGTGCAACCCAGAGAAGACAAGTAGGGATTCTGTAGCATCTTACTACGCTAATGGACAGTGACTGTAATGGGGTATATGGGGGGGACTTGGTGAAGGCGGGAGTCTAGTAAACATTATGTTCCTCATGTAATTGTAGATTGATGATACCAAAAAAATAAATAGCACATTCCTGGTGACCAGGTTTTGGGGTTCCACTATTTCCCAAGGTGGGATAAAACAGCAGCCCCCTGTCTGCCCCTGCCTGAATCCAGGCCCCTCCCTGGGTGAGGGGAAGTAGGCTCAGGAAGGGCAGAGCCTCGCCCAGGCTCTCCAGCTGGTAAGGGAGCTGGTCATGCATAGAATAGAACTCAGGCCACCCTGGTGCCCCAGCCTCCATCCTCTGCCAGGCTCGGCTGTTTCTTTCAAGGGCCAGAGAGAAATATTTCAGGCTTTACAGGCCCTGCGGCCTCTGCAGCAGCTACTCAGCACGGTCAGTGTAGCCAAGCAGCAGCCTCAGCTATATATGTAAGCACAGGACGGTGGCTGTGTTCCAGTGAAACTAAATACCAGTCGGTGGGCTGCAGTTTGCTAGCCCCTGCTCAGCACCCTGCCACCTTTCTGAGGTCTGACAAAGGCGTACCTTCTGGAAGAAGTATCAGCAGGAGCTGGACTGTGCAAGGTCCAGGTTGTACAGGGGGTACAATTGAGGTTTGGGGCTGGCTGGGCTGAGTGGGCTCAGGCAGTGGACAGGTTTGATGTAGCTGGCCAGGAAGGCCCCACTCGCAGCTAGAAGGAGAACTGACCCCCCCGCCCCCACCCCAACTCGGCTTTGCTTCTGAACTATGGGGCAGAAGCAGCGAGGTCCATAGCACCTTTACTGGGGTCCTGTCCAGCTCCCAGGCGGCTGAAGCAGGACCCATCCACATGGTCTACACAGGCTCTGGGATCATCTATGAAGCATTTGTGTATCTAATAAATAAAATCAGGAACTGCAGCCCATTAGAAAAGCATACTGTAGAAAGGGCAGGAGTCAGGGTCTGCAGAAGCATGCAGCTGCTGGGAGAGGGGCTCTCGCAGAAGGGCCCCCTTTCATTGGAAGGAGCGCATCACTCTCACCGCATGCCTGGCCCTGTTCTGTCGTGTCCCGTGACCAGCGAGGTCAGCTTGCCCCAAGAAGCGGACCAGACTCTGAAGGCCAGGTAGGTGGGTTAGTGCAGCCCCTGCCTTTGAGGCAAGGCTTGCCCCGCAGGGTCTCACACACAGCCGGGGAGGGTGGCACAGCTTGTTTCCTCCCGCGTGGTCACGTCATCATCTTGTTTTGTAGGCTTCGCTGTGGCCCAGTGCATAAACCAGCACAGCTCGTCCTCCCTGTCCTCGCCGTCACCATCCACCAGTGGGAGCCCTGGCGGCAGCGGGAGCACCAGCCGTGGTGACTCGGGAGGTGCCAGCTCATCCTCTACCCCGTCTGCCACCCAGAGCCCGTCAGGTACTGGCTGCATGCCAAGGTGCGGGGGGACTTTGGGGAGCCCATAACCCCTCAACACTGAGACCGCTGACGCCATGTTTGGGGCCGTGGCCATCCCGGGGGTTCCACGTTCGCTCTAACGTGACGTTGCCACCCAGCCAGCTGGTTGAGCTCCCAGCAGAGAGACGTCACTCCTTTTACAGACAGATCCACTGCAGGCCGCCCTTGACAGAGAGCTGCAGGGGATGGATGCCGAGGCTACACCCACCCTGTTATCGCCGCCAAAGTCTTGGGTGCTGTGAGGAGGGGTCTCCCAGATGCAATTATTTGAACCCTAGCAAAGAATCCTGTCCCTGCTCTTCTTTTTTTTTCCCTCCATAACATACTGGTTTCCTCTTTAAATGGTGAAATCCAGCTGCCTGGGACCGGGGGTGTATCTGGCCATACTTTTGAGAGTCTGTCAGGATGTGCTAGAGTCCTATCTTGCCCCCTTGTAATTTACACAAACACAAGCATGGCAGGGAGAGACCCAGTGAGCAGGGAGCCCAAAAGGAGGTGTGTGAGTGCCCCCCAGTCCCCGCCCCCTGTGTCAGTTGCCATGAGCCTCTTAGATGAGCACTTTGCTCTGCTGCATAAGGTCAGGGAGTAGACACCAGCCTTATTTCCTGAACATCATGGCCTGAAATGCAGTCAGAAGAGCAGGGCCTGAGCGGGGAGGGTAGCAATGGCCGTGGGAGTGCATGATGCTCCACACCCCAGCAGTAGGCCCCCCGCTGGGTCTGCAGGGCCCCAGGCGTCTCTGATTTGGGAGACCCTGGTGACTCAGTGTCCTTCGCTGTTCCCCCAACGTCCCATCCAGACCCCTTGCCCACTGTATTTCAGGGGCACCTGACCAAGCCCTTGCTAGGGATTGATGGGTCATGATGAAAGTGATATGCCAGGGCATAAGCCACCACGGGCCCCTGACCACGGCCCTGCAGCACCAGAGGCAGGATCTCTTTGGGTGACCAGAGTCTCTCTAGAGTTTTCAGCATCTGCCTTCCCCAGCAAACAGTTAACCCAGCGTGGTCTCCACGCCTCCGGCTCAGGGCACCTCAGCCTACCTGCACACCCCCCACCCCGAGCATCCCCTGTCTACATCTACGGACATTCACAAGGCCTAGGCAGCAAGGGCACCCTCAGGCCTCCTCGGTTAGACGTGCCCAGCTCCTGCCCCCGCTGGGGGAGACATTGCCTTTTCTGAGCTATTCTGAGCCTGAGTTAAGGTTGGCTGAATACCTGAGACGTTGCTGCTGCCCTTCTTGGGCTCGTGGCTGGGAGATTCAGATGGAGCCTTCTCCAGAAGCCGAGAGCAGCCTCAGCCTCCCTCTGAAGCCTCGTGTCATGCAGGTGCTAGGGCCAAAGTGCTGGGTTGTGTGTCTGTACCCATGTGTGCACCCATGTGCTGCCTGCCTTTGCACGTTTCTCTGTCTGTGTTGTGTGTACCCAAAACACACATATACTTAAAATTGCATTTGGGTGAAAGGGCTCTTCCTCGTGTAGCTGTGCACGCCCTTCTTTCATTCTTAAGCAGGCACAGCCAACAGCTAAGCAAACAAATGAGCCGGGAACTTCTTTACCTAAAACCGAAACCAGCAGAGACCTATATTATCAATGTCGGGCTGTGCACACAGGTGTTCATCTAGCATGGCCGAGGCTTTGGCTCTGCGCCTTCCCTCAGAGGCTCAGCCCACAGTGCCTAGTGTTTTCTTCTTGGCCTCCCTCAGCCCCTCCATCCCTACCCCCACCATCCCCTGCACGGTGCCAAGGACATGTCTTCTCATTGCAGAAACGTAGGGGCTGTTAGGCCAGCTGTCAGGCAGCCAGGCAGTTCCAGTCCATAAGCGATGATCAAGCCGTCCTGGGTGTCTGCCCCCATTCGGTGCATCCCCGGCAGGCCTGTAGAGGCAAGCGTGTGAGTCCCCATTTTTTATGCTGCCTGACAGTAAAAGCCTGAGGCCCAGCCTGCCTGTCTGGATCCCTGCAGACCCTGGGATAACTCACCTCCCGATGAAGGGCTGGCCCCTCAGGCAGCCTGTGCTTTACTCTTAACCGAGGCCCTAGCTGCTAATCCCTGGAGGGAGATCGCATCAGAGGCCACAGCTGCTCCCTGTCGCAGGTGCCTGGCCACAGGAGCCAGCTCTGTCCCCAGGCCCACAAGCTGGGACCACAGCTCTTGGAAAGACCACCATTCACTTGCCTCTGAATGCCGAACTTCTCGTCCAGCCTTCAGCCTCCCAGTCCATCCAAACAGCAGCATGCGGGATTTCCATGGCGTCTGTAGGGGCAGGACCACCAGATGGTCCCAGTGTCTGCCTGGTATCCTACTAGCCATGCTGGACAGAAACCAAGAACAGGAGAAGGAAGGCGGTTTTTGTCAGGACAGGCGCCCCATCGTCCAGTTTCCTGGTTCGGCTTCAGCCTGGAGTGGTAGCCCAGCATTCGAGCATCTGATTTGGAAAGGCCGGCCCTGTGTGGCCCTCTCCAGGCTTTCCATTCACAGGGCCTGGCCACAGTCTGCCAGAGGCAGCATCCTTGAGGGCCACTCTGGAAAAGGGGATGGGCCAGGTCCTCTCCCTAAGCCCACCCAGTCCGGACAGCAGAAGACAGCTGAAGCCCCGCCAAGGGGCCACTTGTCTTCAAAGTGCTTGTGCTGAATCAGAGGCATGTTCCAATTTCCAGAGCTTCTGTGTCCAGGAAGTTTCCAGTGTGGAGAGCAGCTTCCAGGACCTTTGCAGCTGGAATTAGCAAACTCCAGTGGTTACTTTGCCCTTGGAGCCACGCTCTACACTGTCAGGTGTTTGCTTAAGAAAGTGCCTGAGGGGAGCCGGCCATCCGGGGATGGGACAGGCTGTTTTCCATGTCTCCACACCACAGTTTTGAAACCCACGTTTGTGCAAGGATATCCAAAGCCAGGGCTGGCCCTTGCACAATGTTAGCAGTTGATATGGCATGGGCAACCCACCACTCAGCCTTCTCTGTGGACACCCACTGCAGTGTCCCAGTAGTTTGAGCTCCTCCCCAAACAGTGCCCCCTCCTCTGGGGGGCCAGGCACTTCACAGGCACCACCCACCCACCCATTGAATCCTGCCACACTACACCTCACATTATACAGGTGAAAACCTAGGGACTTAGAAAGGTCAAGCAGCTTGGCCAGGATGTTGCAGCCAGTAAGTGTAGCCCAGGGGACTCTCACTGCAGTTGCTAAGCCTGTCCCAGGTGCCTCCAAGGGCTGTCCCAGTTGACATGCACACATCTCTCCTTCCGGTGTGCATGGTGCTCTAGGGCCCAGATGGAAAGCCGCAGCCCATTCACAGAGGCCCGGGTAACCATGTAGCCCAACCAGGGAAGGTGGGGCTGTGCGGTTCCTATCAGGGGAAGCCTGGTGGTCCCCAAAATCAGCACAGTGGACCCCAGATGGCCACATCTCTGCCAGCCCAAGTGGGTTCATCTGCAAATGAGAGAGTGAAACTGTTCTGATACTCAGTTGTGTTTTCTGGCTCTACCTTCTTTCCAGCCCAAGGGAGCTTCAATTTCCTGCCTGGGTTTGAAAGAAACCCATATTTATCCCAAATACAGATTTTTCTCAGCTTCTCTTGAGACCTTCAGTCTGAGTGACTCAGGTTTTGTGAACGTCAGACCCAATCTCAGTAGGGTCTCTCTGTAGGGTCCCTGACCCCACAGCTTATGGGTGGGTATGAGTGGCTTTTTGCAAATGCTGGTCCTCAAATCAGGTCCAAGAGGTGCCCCAGACTGAAGGAAAGGGAGCAAGTGGATGCTCTGCGCCGGATGAACTAACCAGAAAGAGTTGGGAGCAGGGGCTTATATTTCCATTGTCAATGATTTGCCTGTTGACACTGTGCCCAAGGGGATTTATGGTCCAGTTTGAACACCCAGTGTATGAGTTAACCTGTTCCCACCATCCTTTAAAGAAAGTACTCTGACATCGTCAAGTCTTTGAGAGCTGGGCGCCCCACGCTGCAGACGCATCCAGGAGCCCAGCACCTCGTCGCCCACTCATCTGGCAGAGATGGCCTGAGGGGCCTCACCCTGTTCCCCAGTGAGAAAATTGCAGGGTTGGCATCAGCACTTTTTTTCCCTAAGCATTGAATGGTTTCAGAAGCTGAAATTGCTGAGAACAAATAGCGGGAAAGAGAAAAACAGACCCAGTTTTGGAACCAATGTAGCACTGGTAGGAATACTTTAGGAGTATTTTCCGGGCCATGCCCGTGCACAGACGCACATATGCACATACCAGTGCACAATCACATGCTCCCCACCGCAATCATGAGCACACACATGCACACTCACACACACGCCCTCAGACATGTGCCCACATGAGAGTCTCATAAGAAAACCATCCCCTCCTCAGTGACCAATAGTGAGTGCCTTAAACAGCAACTCACGCCTCCGACCTCCGGATCTGTTGTATTTCACACGTATACTGAGTGATCCACCTTGAAGAGGAAGGAAAATCGTTTGTTAAAAAATGAAGTCAGAGTGAAGGCCAGCCTATTGTTTCCAATGTCCATTTTCTGAGCTCATAGATTTAGGAACCGTGGCCATTTGACTGTTCCCCAAGGCTTTATAGAAAGGCAGACAAGTCTGGTTCCTGTGGCCCAGGGTCAGAAGCCTGCTGGGTGAGGTTCTGCTCTGCCAGCCCTCCCTGCCCACCCTCACCTGCACCCTAAGCCTGTTGTCAGAACGTGTGGCCATCACCCAGTGCACACACGGTCCCACTGGGCCACCAGAGAGCCAGATGGCCCGAGGCTGACCCACTGAACTTCTAAGGGCAGAAACCCTGAGGAAGATGTGTTCTCTTTTCTTCCCAGTTTTCTTGGTGGCGTTAACTTTTTCTATTGTGGTGAAATATACATAACATAAAATGTGCCATTTTAACCATTTTTAAGCATACAGTTCAATGGCTTTAGGTACTTTCACCTTATGTTCTGTGGTACTGACTTTAAGCTTTGCTGTGATCCTGAATTTGGCTCAGAGGTTCTGGTTCCTTCTTTCCCAGTGAGATGCTCCTAACATTTTTGTTTCAGCTGATTAGAACCCACCCCTTGGCTACTTGGCACCTGGTCTCCGGTCTTCCTACTGTGGTTCAGTCTCGGTTTGCAAAGTTGACATCACCAGAGTGTCATGGGGAGAGCGTCACCTCATGGCTGGGGAGGGGTCTCAGAGGGCCTCACCCATTTGAGGCTTTCCCAGAACCTGCAGAGCTATGCTTTTGGCTTTAGGGTGGTGACACCGAGAACCATTGGCCTCATCAGTCGGGGTCAGAAATCCACTTGTTTCACTAGCTGGTTTGGCTCCGATCCCCCAACCACACACACACTACCCTCCTCAGACTGTCCCGGGATGCAAGGTTTTCATCCTAACTGCTGGTTCGCATCTAAAACTGACGGTCAATTTTGTCCTTCTGTCCCCTGAGGTTTCTCACCAAGACCAGATGTTGCTGATGACCTCAAGTCTCTCCAACAGGACTGAAACTTCGCTGTCTTTACCCCAATTGAATCCCATGAGCAATTTGGTTCTTAGCCATCCCGACACCACCTCTGGGTGCAGGGCTCGGGGTGTCACACCTGCATGGGGGCTGTGCCCCACACCCCAGCTGTGAGAACCTGCTGGGGCCCCACTCCCCTCACGCTCTCGTCGGTGCTTAGCATCCGTCGCTGCTCTGTGCCTTCTCCGTGTCACCCTTCTCTGTCCCGTTGTTAAAGGCTTTCTATGATCTGTCGCTGTGTTTCCCTCTAGTCAGGAGTGGCAGGAAAGGACGCCGGCGAGTGTTCAGCCTGTCGGAGGCCGACAGTCACGGCGGCCACTGGGTTTAGTGCTTCGAACGGCAACTGTCGCAGCACCTCTGGCAGTCAATTCAGGCAGGTCTCCTCCATTAGCCTCCATGGGCCCGGACGCCCCCGCCGCGCAGCAGGCTGAGCCACGCCAGGCCTCCGAGGACGCCGGGGCTAGAGCACGGGGGAGGGGCCTGGGCGGCGGCCCCAGAACCTTTCTCGAAGAGAGCCTCTCCTCGGCTTCCTCCAAAGCCTGCTCTCCGGCTCCCTTTCTGGCCCCATTCTTCTGAGGACCGAGGCTCCTGGCCCTTTACCCCAGGTCTTCCAAGCCAGACCCCAGCAGCCTGGAAATGGTCTCCTCCTCCATGAAATACTGGACAGGCCAGCATCAGGCTCCGCATAGACCCTGGGCTTGGGGAGGGGGTGCTCCAGCCCACTCCCCGCAGGTATCTCCAGTTTAGACCGTGACAGTTGGGCAGTAGAACTTGCCAAAAGCAACCCAGAAGTCAATAGCTTCTTTTTTTTCTTTTCCTTTTGCCCCTGGCCTTGCTCAGAACTGGGTGGAAGATTCGGTCACATTCCAGCCAAAGGCCAAAAGCAGTTTCACTCAGAAGTGCACTGGTGGCCGTGGCCCCACCGTCTCACCTCCTCGTGTCTAGCACACAGATAGCTGCCCAGTTGGGTCTGTGGGCTGCTGCCCGCAGCCAGCTGGCTTTGTAGGGCCCCTCGCTGCTGCCTCCTCCTGCGGTGTCTTTAGGATTTCCTGCACGCGCCCCCCACTTTTCCGTTGCGCTTGGCAGTCTGGAGCCTTTCGCCTTCTTTTGCATTTAAAAGCTGCTTCCTCTGAGCTTTGCCCTCCAACTCGCTGTGCTCCGCTGTCCTTTCCTTCCCTTACGTTCAGTCCCACCAGATTTCCCCTGGATACTGTCACTCACGTGGAGAAGGGTCCGCCAAGCCCCTGCCCCAAAGCCGCAGATCAGCTTCTGAGGGTGCTGGCAAGGACACAGGGGACCTGCTGCCTCGGTGTCAGCAGCTCAGAGCAGAGCTGTGGGGGAGCCAAGCGTCGCTCACGGAAATCCGGACATCCGGACTTCCCACTCAAGCCTCCCCTCCTCTCCCTGGCCATGGGCCACGAAGTCAGAATGTTCCCTGGATGCCTCAGTTCCTGGGCCAGTTCCCAACCTGTGGCCCTAGAGCTCAAAGTCACTAGCAAGAGAACAGAGCCAAGGGTTCAGCAGGAACCTCTGCAGCCCAGCACTTGACCAGAAAATATGTTCTGGGGTAATTTTCCCCCAGTGAAAACCTGGCAGGGTTCTCCTTTTTTTCCTCCTTGAATGGGTAAATTTGCAGGTCACATTCATGAAGCAATTCTTAGATTAGAAAAATAATAATAATAAGACAGTGTTGTGGGCAATGGGTAAGAATGGGTTATTTTTTTCCTTTTAAAAAAAATAGAGGCTATTTTTTAAGGGTAAAAATTGCCGCTTTTAATTAAATTGTGGGTTCTTTTCTGAAAGAAGAAACCAGTTTTTGTGGGTGTGGTATTGTTCGTTGGTTTGTTTTTAATATATTTTGATGGCAACTTCCCTCTATCCTTGATTATTCTTATCACCAAAACCCCCACTAGAGATCAGGGAAAGAGGTTCGCCAGACTATTTTGAGTGTCTTCATGCAAATGCAGACTTGAGCAAAGAGGGACTTGTACATAGAAATTTTGAGAAAATGTGAAGGAAGCGCTCTGTAGCTCCGTCCTCAGACAGCACAAAAGTGCCATTTGGAGAATTAGTTATTTGTAAACTGCCTGGTCAGCAGCGAACCTTACGTGTGCATCCATTTGTACATAAGCCCGTAGACATGCTCGCACACCTTTGCAATGAGGTAGAGGCCTCCAAGGGCAGGTGAGCCCCCCTCGCAAAGAACCACGAGCAGATTGTGCTGGGTGAGAACGTGAGCCTGGGTGTTGAAACCAGCCCATCACCACAAGACATCCTCATTGAATGGAGCAAATACACTGAAATTCAGAGAAACCAGAATGCGCAGGGGGGAGGGGGGTTTACTCAGCGTTTCTGGGCTCAGCTCACACCCTGAGTCACTTTTTCCCCTAATGCTCACCAGTGCCCCATTGCCACCTTCCCGCGGCAAGGACAGACCCAAAGCTCAATGCAGCGGTTTTCTCTGGGCCTTATTCTTCTTTACAGTAAAAAAATGGCTTCATGAAGAAATTAACTGGGACCTTTTAGAGCTCATCTTGCCCGGAGTCTTGTGCGCAGAAACGCCAGCATGCGCCCTGGGAGACCGTCTGTTCTTTGTGCTCTCTCCCTGTGGGTGCTCTCCTTGCCTTCATCCCCTGCTATATGCCCTCTGGCTTTATTTTGCTTTTGGTTTTTCCATTCTTTCACTCTGTGTTCTGTTTGCAGTTCTGTTTTGTTTTGGCTTAACTTAAAAAAGAAACAACTAACTTAACCAGAATCACGGTGAACAAAAAAAGTCATCATCCCCAGAGCCCAGAGGGCTCCCAAACTCACAGCTCAACCCCGTGCGGTCTGCACCTTCTGCTGCCGGCTCGTGGGCCTCAGGGTCCGTACATGTAAGAGTTTGCTTGTCGAGCAAGATGCCCACGGAGTTCCTACCAGTGTTTTCAGATCACCGGCAAGAGACCTGGAAGATGCACTCCAGTCCCAGCTGGTGTTTCTGTCCAGGCAAACGAGTCACTGAAAAGCAAACAGGCCGTTGGCCTGTAACCTAATCAAGGATTTTGAGAAGCACCAAAGAAACAAATTGCCACTCCAAATATACCTGCATCCGGCAGAGCCTCCTGTCTTCCTCCTGCCATTGTTTCTCTCCGTGGCCCCTGTGGGGATGCCAGGCCAGCACAGCCCCTTCCCGGGTGCTAACTCAGCACGTAGAGAAGGAGCAGGGCACAAGCCACAACCCGAGGTTTGGTTTTGTAAGCTGAAAAGTTCTATAGAATTCCTTTTTTTTTCTCCTTTTTTTAAAATATTCAGTGAGTTCCCTCTTGGTTAAATGTCGCCAAATGTAGACTCTAGAAATGGCCCGAAGTAATGAACACACCCAAGCCTATTTTCTCCCTAAATAGTACATTTATCATCAGGCAGGTGGTCCAAGAGTTGCCCTAACAGCCTACCTGGGCCCTTTCCCACACTATAATCCATTCATGGATTTTACACAAACCCCTGATTTTTCCCTTGCATCACAAGACAGGGTAACCCTGGGCCCTGACAGATTGTCCCCCAGGACTATGCACTGGGTTTACCAGCATCTGTGTCCCCAGAAGAAGGGGATGGAGACAAGCTGTTTCCCCAATGCTGCCATGTCCCACCCAGATTTCCCTGGGCCTTCGTTCAGCATGGGAGCAGAGGGTATCAGGTAAGCCGAGTATCTTGAAGTTAAATGTACCTTTGTTTTTTCTCCCGTGCCCAGATGACCCCTTGACTGTGGAACAGCCTCAGCCTAACCTTTCCGACCAGGTGGTGATCATCAATGAAACGGAAGCAGATGCCAGGCCCAGCAGGAGCCTGGCAAGGAGCACAGATGTGGACACAGTCAGCCTGTCCCCCAGCCTCATCCCAGCCCAGCAGCCTACCATCTCCCTGCTCTGCGAGGACACTGCCGACACCCTGAGCGTAGAGTCACTGACCCTCATCCCTCCCGTCGACCCCCACAGCCTCCACAGCCTCCACACCCTCACAGGCGTCCCCACATCACCCACACCAGCCACAGTGGGCAGAGCGACCCCAGGTGAGGAGGCTGCGCACCCGGGCCCTGCAGGCCCCACCGAGCGCTGAGTCAGCACTGAGCGGCCTCCCTTGGTGCGTGCGGCCCCGCTGGTAGGGACCAGGTGCAGCTGGCTCGGAAGACATGTGGGGAGCATCTCGGTTCTCCGCAGCCCCCAGTAACCATCTCCACCACCTGTCCTCACGCGCCTTTGCTCCATCTGAACCCCTCTTTCACTTTGCGCCTCTTGGAGAGCAGGCTGCGATCACTGGAGACACCCCAGCAAACACAGGTGGCTCCTCGGAGGAGGCCTGGGCTCCTGACCTCTGATCCCGGTGGCCGGCTCCTCACGCTTCATCAGCTGGCCCCAAAGCTGGCCCCTCTCCAGTCTCCAAGCTTCTCTGCCACCATCTCCAGTGCACAGAAGAAGTGGACAAAGGTCACTGGATAGAAATTTGTAGAAATGCAAACTCCAATAAACAGCTCCTCTGGATATTTATTTGTGCTTTTGGCAGATGAAAAGCATTCATGTAGAAAACATCTACTTTTTTAAAAAGTCCAAAAAAAATCCTCAACCCTAAGGTTTGATGTCATGTTAAAAGTGTACTCTTACTGTTAAGGTTTCATTTTTGTTTTCCCTTGAACTTCCCAGTGTTTTGATTTGGCTGGTTTTCTCCGTTTTCTCAAGAGATTCGTACATCTTTGTTACTCACAAACTCTGCAAGCCTGTGGAATGAAAAAGTACCTTTCTGGAAAGTTTAGATTATTTTTTAAACAAAAATAAGGGAGATACATAACATATATTCTCAGGTACACACACTGCTGAGAGGGCCAAAAGTTTCTCTGCCACAACAGCCAGGGGGCCTCGCATTACCTGGAGATCTTTCCATGAAAGGGGACAACGGTGCAGTCAGCTCCCTGTTCACGACCCATTCCTTATCTCTCTGGACTAGAACCAAACTGGATGGTTTTCCAACATCACCTCAATTGTCACATCTGTTTATCTAAGAAAGAACCATCTGGGACTGTGACAACTCCAGCCCCAGTGGCCGTGATGGTGAGAGCAGGCCATGGAAGCTGTTCCTTGAGTTGCCTGCTTCTCAACTGTGCGTGCTGGTGTGCAGGGAGATGGCTGCGCACCAGCCACCCGGGTGTGATGTCCTCAGCCACGGATTTATCCTGGGAGCTTGGGGATTGCCCAGCTGCTGCTACAAAAACGCACGCTTGTTTTTATAATGCAGACCCCACCATTCTTCCTCCAGATGGGCTGGGTGTGTGCAGCCCAATTTACTGATGGATCCAGTGAAGTGCCCCAAATGTTCCTTTCTACTTAGCCAGGCAAGCCAAGCGGCCCTCGCCACTCGGGCAGTGCCAAGACCTTCCAGCATGTCCACCAGGAATGTCAGTGCACACAGCGTCCATGTCAGCCAGGCCTGCTGACGGGGCCCTCAGGAGATGTCCCAAGCGCTCACCACCCACCTGGTCCAGAACCACGGCCCCAGCCAGCCTCACAGCAGGGCCTGCCCAAGCCAGGCCACAGCCTCCTGCAGGAGACACAGTGGTCCTAAGGAGGATGGGGGTAGTGGCCGTGGGGACAGGTTTCTCCAGTCATCAGAAGCCCTCTGGGTAGGTATGCCCACCCAGCTTCAACAGAAAGATCCAGCTCAGAAAGGAGGCCTTTTAGGCAGACATTCCAGGGGCCCTGGCAGGAGAGACGAGTCATGGCCATCAGCAGAGCATCCAAGGAAGGAAAGGCAGGTGGGTCAGAGGAAGGATGGCCTGTGGGGGCAAAGGGCATGTCATCAAGGACAGAGTCACCCCCTCCTCCAGCAGCCAGCCACATGCCCTGCCCAGTCTTCTGCTTGCATAGGGGAGAGGCTAGCCCCCAAGCCACATGCTTCTGGTTTTGAAATGACTCTGGGGCAGCAGAAATGAAAGGAGGTGAGTGACTTCCCAGCCCAGTGGCGTGTGGGGAACAAGCCCATGCAGGGGACCCAGGCCCTCCCCAAGAACCATTAGCCTGCCACCTGAAATCAGGTGGTTTTGTGGCCACCAAGCACTACAGGAGAAAGGTCTTAGGCAGGGGGTACAGCATGTCTGGGGGGACCTGCGGCAGCACTGAGCTGAATGCAGCCCAGCCTCCACAGGCTGTTGAATAAAAAGTACTGATGCAGCCAAGTTTTTGCCCCAAACTCCTGGCCAGGGCAGCCTCACCCCAGTGGTAGTGGAGGGCAGGGGGGAGCATGTTCTTGGTTGCTCCTAGAGTGCACCTCTGCGGGATGCTCTCAGATGTGGGGTGGGAACTTCCTTTAACCAGGGGCTCCCAGACACCTTGCTGGCAAAGAGACACATGTCCTTGTGTGAGGAGGCCCGGGGTCTGGGGGAGTCAGGCAGCTGCCTTGGCCCCGATGAAGGGCCCGCCTCGCTGGGTCTTAGCAGCCATGGGCATGGCTGTGTCTTCAGGAGCCCCCTGGAACCCTAACAGCAGGACGCTCCCAGGCAGGCCAACCCAGACAGGGGGGCTCCAGGCTTGCACAGAGAGAGGCAGAGCCAGGGGTCCTTGCAGAACCCAGGGCAGGGGCCGTGGCTTTGATGTGCAGCACTTAGACTCAGATGCCTGGGGTCAGCCCGGGCAAGCCCACCCAGCCCGCCACCTGCCCATCCCTACAGAGAGAGGGCCACCACCCCGCCTCCTGAGTCCACATCAGGCCTGCTGGGTTTGCTGAGTCAGGGCAGGATGGCCACGTGAACCCCACATATCTGCTTTGAAAGCTCGTGTGGGGAAGCATGTGTCCTTTCCGTTCAGGGGCTTGAGGGAGCAGGCATCTCCTGAAGCGCAGGCGGGTGTGAGGCTGGGAGTTCTCCTGGGGGAGCAGGGGACCAGCCCCACGGCCATGGTAGGGATTCAGGGCGGTTGCCCTATCCCAGGGCCGGGGGAAGGAGGGTCTTCTGCCCCCAGCAGGCCTGCTCCACCAGCCTCCCCCTCCGTGCTCTCTGCTCTCTTTACCTAAACACCCACGTGCACATGGGTGAGCGGCCAGGGGCCGGGTGCAGACATGCACCTCTTTAAAGACATCACTAGATCTCTCTAAGGCCTCCATGTGCCCTGGTTCAAAAACAAAAAGTGGGTGAACTGATTCTCCTTTTCTAGATGCAATAAATAAGAAGTATTCAGTGCGGTCATGTTGACACTGGGCATAAACTGTAAGGGTTCCTTATGTTCCTCTGCGCTGGAAATATGTGAATAATTCTTGTCCCAAGGAGGAGCGGGGGTTGAGAAACCTCATGCTCTGGGCCATGGGACCATCCAGGGAAGTACCTGCTCGCACTGGCGTGACTCATGCTTTGTGGGTACTGAACCCGAGGGTGGAAATGAAAACTGGAACTTCCTGGTAAATTTGAACTTGGCAATAAAAGTTACCAAGAATGTGGTTGCTGCTCTGTGGTGCTGAGGTGGGGAGGCCACAGCCCAGCAAACAGGAAGGTTCTCTGCTGTCTGACCCCTTGGCCCTTCACGGCTGCTTGGCGGGGTGCAGCAGTAGTCAGTCCCCAGTTCCTAAAAGGGAGGTGTGGCTGTTCCTACTGGGGCTGGGAAAACATCCCCATGTGCAGCCCGCTCCATTCAGAAAGTGCTCCCGACCCCATCCTGGTGCAGTGACCTTGGTCCGTGTTCTGCATCCCTCACCTGTTAGCAGCTGGTACTCCATCTGAGCCTCAGCTTCTGCATCTGTGGAATGGGGCCATTACAGCCCTACCTTGCAGGTGAGCACAGGGCCTGGTGCACAAGGGTGCAGGGAGCCTCTGCACTGGTGTGCTGAGCTTCTGGGCCAGGACAAGTGGGAAGGGTCCCCACCGAGGACAGAGATGGGCAATGTTCCTGCTGGGGCTGGCACCAGTGTGAGCTTGGGCAACCCCTGGAAATGGGTTCACATGTTCTCATGGGAACTTCTGACACTCCAGCTTAAACCTGGCACAGAAAGCTGAGCCTGGAGGTAAAACCCAACTCAAATCCAGAGCATAAATGGGGCACCTCCTGCCCCACACCACAGGTTGAGGCAGTGCCAGTGGAAGGTGGAGGCTGGTGCTGAGGGCAGGGCTGCCCTCAGTGTCTGCCTCCCACTGGCCGCCAGCAGAGCTCTCTTCCCTGCCTGGCCTGGGTTTCTCTAAGGTCAGTTCCTCTGCTGAGAATGTGCCAGGCCCCCTGGGTTGAGGTTGGATCCCGCTCTGCACTGTGTCCCCTGGGTGCCTGGTTCTGGGCCAGGGCCCACCTGTAGCCTCACCTGTCCCCACAGCAGCCCTGCCTCAAGGGCACATGGCCACTCATGCATTGTGACTTTAGTCTAAGAAAAGGAACTTGCTAGAAGTATACACAGGAAGATGGGCCCCCGAACAGGCGAACTAGGGACAGCAGCTGTTGGGGGCTCCTTCCAGTCTCTGAGCCTCGCTGGGGCAGCCAAGGGCCAGGCCTCTAACTGGGGATACGGGTGCTAGGAGCGAGGAGCAGGCGCCTGCCAGCACACGCCTGCTGCTGGTGGACTCAGTGATGTGCCCCAGGGCCCGCAGTACAAGCCTGGGCCTATGCTCGTTGTGCTCCCAGCTGAGACTGCAGCTGCTGAGCCAAGCGTCCTGGGGCTGTTGACAGAAAAAAGGAGGTGAAGCAGCAATTCTCAGACACGAATGGGTGTCAGAATCACCTGGAACCCTTGTCCACAATCCAGCACCATGCACACCTAGACCACCTGGGGAGACCCTGAAATGGTGTCTGGCTGAAGGCCTTTGAACGGTGTGGTCACAGACTGGGTGCTCAGCACGAGCATTTCCTGGGGAAATGCCATCCTCTCTACGGGAGGCAGAGCCTGGAGCTGGACTCGGCCACTCATTAGCCACGTGACCATGGCCGGATCTCCAGTCCGTGCTGGGGTTTCCTCATCTGCAAAGCGAGGTGAGGAGCAGAGCTGCCTGGTCAGTTGTTAGGATGGAAGGAACCGGTGCTGGTAAAGTGCTCAGGTCAGGGCGGGCAGCCAGAGGGCCTGGAGGGCTCTCAGCACGTGAGCCTCAACGGCAGCTCCCCCCCACCTCTTCCCAGCCTAGACTCACACCCAGCACGACCTGCAGCCTGTTTGGTGGCCTTTTCCAGTGTCCAGATCCGTCTGTAATGGGCAGCCCTCTTGCAGGGTTTGCAGGCTTCCTCCCCAGCATCACGTGCCCTCCGGCTGCGGTTTCCCCAGGGAGCCAAACCAGTGTCCAGGACAGCCTGATGGGGGGAGGCAGGAGGTGAGGCGCCCAGAGGCCTGTCTGCACATCCTCAAGGCACCTAGAAGGTGGAAGGGGAGGTGAGCGGGGGCAGGCGGTGTCCTGCCTGAGAGTGACCTCAAGTCCTTCATCCAGGAAGACCACTTCCCAGCTGGCCACCCACTGGAAACCCCCTTCACTTCCTGTCCTGCCTCCTCGAGGCATCTCAGCAGTGGGAAAAAACCTTCCACATCTAAAGGGTTTTTCTTCAGAAGAGGATAGGTCTGAATCACAAAGCCAGGAACACATGGGCCGGCCTGGGAATTTACTCGAGCATGCAGATGGGGCAGTGTAAGGCCTGCCCTCCCAGAACCTGCGCTCCATGCCTCTTAGCCCACCCTGCTCTGGCCCCTGCCCATCCTCCTCCTAGGCTACATGCCACCTGGCTCAGCCTGATTTCCCTCCAGGACGGTAGTATGTGCCCCCGGAACACACAGGTGCTGAACACCTGTTACTTCTACTCCTGACTTACCTCCTAAAGTCAAGTTATGTAAGAGGGAGACTTTGCCGCTAGAAACAGAAAATCAGTACTGCCTTCTGTCTTAATTTCCTAGGGCTGCCCTAATAAATTACCGCAAACTGGGTGGCTTGAAACAACAGTTTACTCTCTCACGGCTCTGGAAACCAGTGGTCCAGAACCAAGGGGCCAGGTGGGTGGGTTCCCTCTAGAGCCTTTGAGGGAAAATCCACTCCTGCCTGTCCGCCAGTGCCTGGTGTTGCTGGCAGTCCCTGGCTTGTGGCTGCATCACTCTTGATCTCTGCCTCTGCCTTCACATGGCCTTACCTGTATGTCAAATCTCTTATCAGGACACCACTAACCGGATATACAGGATGATCTCATTTCGAGATCCTCAACGTCAACCCTCTTTCCAGAGAAGGTCACGTTCACTGGGGGGTTAGGATGTGAATATATATTTTTAGGGGTGGGTGGTGTCACCATTCAATCCACTTCAATTTCTGGCAAGTATCTAAATATAATACAAGCAAATCCATGTAATTACATTGTAACCACGTCCCATTACCTGCCCTCCGCTCTGGGCCCGAGGCTGGAAAGCCAGCTAGTGTTGGAGATCTGTTAACGCCCAACCAAGACTTGCCCTCTGATGGGGTCGGGAGGGCTGGCCAGGGAGGAACAGCATCTCTGGGGCTCAGTTGTGTAAGTCTGTGTCCCTGTGCCCCTTAAAATCATCTCAGGATTCCTGATCAGAGATGCTGCTGTGGCACACACAGGCCACAGATCATGGTGTGGTGTCGACGGTGGTTTCTGTTTCTCAATCTTCCTTTTCCAGTAGACTCGCCTACAGGCATGGATTGTGTTTCATTTGACCCCCGTCTCCCTGAGCCTGGCTGCAGGGCCTGGCATGCTGCAGACACTGTATGGATGTGTGTTGGATGGATGGACAGATGGATGGATGGATGGGGCCATCCTTGGACACAGCCCCAAATTCCTAAGGACTGAATTCCATTCATGTGCCCATGCCTATGACCCTGACCTACAGCCTCACCCCATTTATCTTCACTCTGGCCTCTTCCAGGCCTTCCCATAGTCAGCCAGAGACATTTGAACGAATCAGGGTCAGGTTGACAAGTACGGGAGCTCTGGGGACTCTGTTTTGCTACCATCAGAAATTCTGTGTCCCCCAGCCCTCCCAGGTATCCGACTGAGCTTCTGCGGCTATCTCCACATCCCCGGAACCTCACACAGAGCCAAGTGGGCTTCAGAGCCAGCAGACCAGGTGCAAGTCCCCGCACTGTGACTCCCTAGCCACGTGGTGTTGAGCACATGGCTAAACCGAGGGCCCTCCCTGGCAGGGGCCTTGGCTGTGTAGATGAAGTGGCAGCAGGTAAACTGAGCACTCCATGCCCAGCCTGGCATAGAGTCACCTCAGCCAGCTGTCCTCACTGAATGAAGGAGGGGCTTTGGGAACCACCCAGTGCCCAGGCACCTCGCAGACCCCTAGAGACGGCCTCTCCAGGTGGAGCTGAGCTGTGGCATTGTTTTTGAGGACCCCAGCTGATTGCAAAGGACAACTGAGGTGAGAACTAGCCCTGGCCACTCCACACCCCTCACTGCAGCCACCCCCAGAAGACCCTCGCTCTTTCCAGGATAGGCCCTGGGCGTCTGCCTTTCTTCTCTGAGCACCACTCCCAGACCTGGGCACCTGTGGGGACTTGGTGTCCTTCTGGATACAGCTTACTTGTTACCTTCCAGAGGCCATTCTGAGTTGGTCCCCTGCTTTCTCAGTGTCCACTTAGTCCCTTACTGACATTTGTCACACCTCAAATTATTTCTGTTTGATGCACCCAAAATCCCACTGTCTTACTTTGGGAAACCCCGAGAGCAGAGCCAGGGGTGAGGACCTGGGTGCTATGTCCTACTGGGGGGAGATCCCAGGAAGCAGCCAACAGGGGGGAGGGGGAGGGCAGCAGACTGGCCGCTCCTGGGCTGGTCACCACTGTGGCCTCTGCAGAACCACATAGAATGACCTCAGGACTGGCCCAGATTGTGCAGGAGGTTGAGCCTCCCCACCACCCCTAACGCCTGTGGGTCTAGGTTGGCCCAGGGCAACAATGTCCTTGTTCCCCCCAGCTGTCCTGCCTGGAAGCCCATGAGTTCTCAGGGTTCTTCCTTTGGACTGAAAATCAGAGACTCCGCAGGCACTTGAGGTGGCAGGCTGGCAGCGGGGGGCACCCTGGGCTCCCAACAGCTCAGCTGCACACATTAAACAAGGGCCATCAATGCAGCCCGCCAGCATGTTCTTTTCGGCCTGTGCGGGCTTTGAAAAAAATAATAGAAGATTTTAGGAGTGGGGATCTCATATAAGTATCTGGATTTCTGCTTCTCTCTAAAAATCATCTATAGGAACCATGGGCCACATTCTTCATGGTGATCGTCAGTTGGAA